ATTTAACATTAACGTATCTAAATCATTTAGAGAGGCAACAAAAAGAAAAAGGGGAAGAAGGGTGTTGACCTTCTTAAGGGCAGTAGACTAAACGAATTCCCTTTTATTGTTCAAAGATCGCAAAAAAACTTTCAAACTTAAACTAGCAAAGAAATCGACAAAAGAGAAGAAAATAGTAAAAGACTTAATTATCAGAAAACCTAATTTCTTAGTATTTTGGTTGCTCTAGTTTTGTTGTGTTAGGTTGTCTCTTGGTAAGAACATTAATGATCCCTTTTTATAGTGGCATTCAATGCACCAAGGCTTCATGAATTCAAACCAGTAGTGGAGGCTGACACATGGTAGATGATGACAACTAATCGAGTGAAAATCAGAAGACAGAGGGTGGAATCAGTAATGATTTTACTTGAGTACTGGAGTAGAGTGAATCGTTAAGGCACAAGAAACCATCAGTTAAAACTCTAATATCAAGAGGTCATTGAATTTGACCTCTGGGTGTCAAATATTGATGATGAAGCCAGCTAACACCTCCTGCTCGCTTTGATTTGAAAGAATGAAGGACGAATCCTGCGACTTTGAAGTTTCACCTTTTAGGTCTGATTTTCTCGACTAGGGTTTTGAATTTGAAAGGCGAAAATGGAAAGAACGACAGGACTGATAGTGCAGGAACAAAAGGAATAGCCATGCATGCCATGGATTTGAAATATCAATGACGATTTGAAATCTCATATCTCAGATTAAAGTTCGGATTTTGGGAGATTTCATTTGGTGTTAAAATAGGTAAAGGTCCAACGGGAATCCTGGATATGGAAGACATATGAGATGATTTGAGGTCGATTTCAAGACCTTGCACCAATTTGTGCAAGGTTTGTTGATTGATGGGGGTTTTAGGCAGACGAGACAAAGAGAGAAGAAGAGGAAATAAAGGCAGTTAGGTAAGGGGAGTTGAGTTAGGGTTTGGGGTGTGAGATCGCTTGATCTCTGAGTTAAAATGGGGGGAAAAGATATGGGTTGTTGGATCATTTGATCAATGACCCTAATAAATCAGGGCGTTACTTATGTAAGAAAAATGATTTTAGAAACATATGGGGGTCGTTGGATCTATATGATTTAACAACTAAGATAATTTCTAATAATGGGTTGGGATTTAAACGAAAAATAGGGAATAATTTGTGACAGTTGATGGTTTGAATCAACGGTTCAGATCGCTTGTGTTTGTTTTGTGATTGGGATCAACTGGTGACGTACCATGTCATGATTGGTTGAGAGGTAATGGCAAGGATTGCCAAGTTGGAAGGGGATTGGGTGTTTGGATTGGGTTTTTCCGATTTGGGCCTGGTATTTAAGCCAAAATTAATTTATAGAATAGTCACTTTGTGCTTGGTTAAGGAATTGCCATTGTAGCAGTTAGTTTTAAAAAATATCTCTTTTAAAATCAATTTAAATAAACTTAACAATTTTAATAAAATGTGGTGAAATTATAATTACTATATGCTACTAATTATTTAAATTATCTATAAATGACACTTAATTGTAGCACTAATTTCAAATTATCAATAGAGTAACCTAATTTTAGAAATTAAGGAATAATTTTGTCAAATTGTAAAACCTATGTAATGTATATACAAAAGTTATTTTATGATAGTAAATATATTTGTAATTACACAATATTAGTACTATGTGATTAATTTTGAAACTAATACTTAATTAATTTATAAAATAGATTTTCATTACTAGAAAAATACTTTTAAAGCATTTATTGTAAATTATTAAGCGTGAATAAATTAACTGTAAAAAAGAGGGTCAAAATTGGTTGTCAACAGCTGCCCCTCTTTGACCGAAGACGATGAAAGAGTTTTCAGGTAAAGAAATTGAACCAAAGTCAATTTTGTCCCAACTTTAGGCAGATATTGCAGGAAATGAGGATGGGGAATTGCAGGATGGAGTAGAGGAAAAATTTGGAAGGATTTAGGAATGTTGGACCAAATTCTGGCTTTGAATTGCTTACATACCTCAGGCTTAACGAGGATCAGGTCTCATGTAGTTCTAGAATAAAGACTTTGGGGAAGTGGCACTCACATGAATTGCCTCAATATCGTATTATGATGATATGGCGAGGCGAAAGATTGATCACTCATAATGGATTGAACTTTGCGGCCTGATTTGAATTATTCGAAACTTTGAGCTTGCTGGTCATCCTGAATTGGGATCTGGGATCTTGAGCCCGCTACTGGGTTAGATGTCCCCATAGCGGTGTAGTTCGGTCTACTGCTAAGAAGTAATTCCATGCTACAATGTTTGTTCCTGCAAAACAAAATGAAATACACGATGCGATGTAAATTATGCAGAAATAATGATGTCTGGCTGTCGGCGAGCCGTTATTCGGAATTGAGATGATGGGATACTTGATCCTGACTCGATTTGTTAGACAAGTTGAGTACCGTTATGCAGCTGTCAGAGCATTTGAAAATTGCCTCCGCTTGTTGGGAGAGCTTAACTAGTAAAGTGCGTCTCCACTTACTGCGAGAGCTTTGCACTGAGAAATGTCTTCGCTTGTTGGGAGAGCTTTGCACTGAAATGTAAAGTAGTCCCGGCTTGGGGGAGATCGAAATTGTGCCTAGAGTTGCACGAACAAAACGTTAAAATATTCAAGTTAACAATGAAAATTAAACATGAGCATGCCCAAGAGATACTCTTGACTGCAAAACTAAGTTGCGGCCATCGATTGGAAGAACGTTGGTGACGAGGTTCGTAATTGACTATTCTGGCATTCGTGATTGATGGAGCGGTGCTGCAAATTGCTTTTTGATGTCAAAGTTTGCAGTTTCCTATATAGAAGGCTCCAGTTGGTGAAGCCGACGTTCGATTTGTACAAGGCACTCCGATTGATTGAACTGACAGTTTGCTATATACAGGACTTCGATTGGTGAAGCCGACATGCAATTTGTACAGGGTGCTCTGATTGGTTGAGCTGACGGTTTGCTATTTACAAGACTTCGATTGGTGAAGCCGGCATTCGTTTTGTACAAGATGTTCCGATTAGGTGAGTAGACGATTTGCTATTTACAAATTATCCACATCAAGATGTATGATTCTGAGGCTCCTGCAAAGAATTCAAGAGTTAGCTTTAGTTGTGCTAAAACATTTTAAGTAAAAGGGAGGAGATATAATATTAGGCAAGTGGCGGGTCCGTCATTTGACCCAGTGTGGTTCCAGTGATTCTTTACTCCCTGTGGACCTTGCACTCAAAGAAACTTCTTAGTAAGAGAGGGGGGAAGTTGGTTTGCATCGACACTGGTATTGATTTGCCCCAGCCTTTGACATGATTGTGCCACGGAGTCCGGTAGATGGAGCAGATTACTTTATATATGTATATTTTAGAAAATATTTTAAAAATATTTGTTTCTTTTAAGGCAAATGTCATCGTTCCAGATTATGACATGTTACCAAAAGGGTTCTCCGCACGTGTATGCATTTCTCTAAGAATCCCGTCCAGTTGATGTCAATCTTCTATGGTATCTCTGATAACACAGCAACTGGCCGTTGCGACTGCGTCCTAATTAAAACTAATGCGTTACAGAGGTTTTCTAAGGTTATGACCGAACCCTTTCAAGTTGCATACGTATCCAAAATAGAATCAGGTATGAACGTACTTTGTGGGATAATGATATAATGCGATGAAATGACCGAGCCCGAATCAGGCAGCCTACGTATCCAAAATGGAATCAGGTCGGGACGTAGTTCAATTACAACAAATGCAAAAGATGAGATTAAGAATGAAAAATGGCCGAGTCTAACTTAGACAACATACGTATCTAAGACAAAATCCGGCCAGAATGTAGTTCAATTACAAAAGACGACTAAATCCGATGAGGATTGCCTATGTATTCCTTTTTGAGGAAATCAAGTCGGCGTAGTTCCTAGATATCGTAAGAAATGACATTTGTTTTTTCTATTACAAGAGAAAGAGGGAGAGAAACTGAACCCTATATGGGTTGCCTACGTATCCTTGCGTGGGAAGTCAGGTTGAACGTTCTTCTGTTACATCAAAAATCTAACTCTATTTGCCCTCAGACGTAATATGTATTGATTGCATCCGTGTTGCTCGGCTTCGTGCTAACTCTTCCATCCATTTTTGCTAAGATTAGAGCTCTACCAGACAGTGCTCTGTGGACTACGTAAGGACCTTGCCATTTTGGTGCAAGCTTCCCTTTAGCCTCCTCTTGATGGGGAAAGATTTTCTTCAGAACCAACAGCCCCGGTTCGAATTGGCGAGGCTTCACTCTTTTTTTAAATGCACTAGCCATCCTGTTCTGGTATAACTGTCCATGACATATTGCATTTATTCCTTTCTCGTCAATGAGAATGAGTTGTTCTTCTCTTACCCGTATCCACTATGCGTCGTCCAATTTTGCTTCTTGGATGACTCTTAAGGACAGAATTTCGACCTCTGGGGGTATCACTGCTTCACTGCCGTATACCAACATGTACGGCGTTGCCCCAGTGGATGTTCTAATGGTAGTCCGGTAACCCAATAAAGCAAAAGGTAGCTTCTCATGCCATTGTCTGTAATTGTCCACTATATTTCGCAAAATCCTCTTGATATTCTTGTTAGCTGCCGAGGCTGCTCCATTCATTTGTGGTCTTTAAGCTGTGGAATTGCGGTGGACGATTCTGAACTTTTCACAGATTTCTCTCATGAGGTCGCTATTGAGATTGGCAGCATTGTTAGTGATGATAGACTCCGGTATTCCAAATCTGCAAACGTTGTTGTTACGGACAAATTTTGCCACTACCTTTTTCGTGAAGACTTTTTAATTAGATGCCTCGACCCATTTAGTGAAATAGTCGATGGCTACCAAAATGAAACGATGTCTGTTGGACATTGCATGCTCTATGGATCCTATCACGTCCATGCCCCAGGCAGCGAAAGGCCAGGGTAAACCCATTACATTTAACGTATTTGGTGGAACCCGGATGAAATCTCCCTGAATCTGGCACTAGTGACATTTCTGCATATAGCGGATGTTGTCGCTTTCCATTGTCATCCAAAAGTATCCAGCTCTTAAAATCTTCTTGGCTAATGTGAACCCATTCATATGGGGTCCGCATATCTCTGCATGTATTTCTTCAAGCAGTCTGGTTGCTTCGGCTGTGTCTACATATCTCAGCAAATCTAAGTCGGGGGTCCTCCTATACAAGACTTCCCCGTTGAGGAAAAAGTGGTTTACCAATCTCCTGAGGGCTCGCTTTTGACCATTAGTAGAATTTTCTAGGTATTCTTGGGTTGCAAGAAACTTCTCGTGATACCAAGGTTTACCATATGGTTCTTCATTCATATGGAAGCAATAGGCATGTTGATCCTTGATTTCTATCTCGATGGGGTCGATGTAGTTCTTGTATGGATGTTGAAACATAGATGATAAGGTCGCAAGGGCGTTGATGAACTCGTTCTGAATTTCGGGGAAGTGCTTGAACTCAATCTTTGTGAACTTCTTGCACAGTTCTTTTACGCAGTGCATGCATGACAGTATCTTGACATTCTTGGTGGACATTCTCCTTGGACTTGGTGGATCAGCAAATCAAATTCTTATATGACCAAAAGTTTTTTATGTTCATGCCGACTGCCATTCTGATTCCAAGGTTGCATGCCTCGTATTCTGCCATATTATTGGTGCAAGGGAATCTTATCTTTGCCGATGCTGGATAGTGTTGTCCAGATTCCGAAACCAAGACTTCCCCAACTCCGACTCCTTTGAAATTTTTGTTTCCATTGAAAAACATCCTCCATCCGAGGTATGATTCTGCAATATCTTCTCCGGCAAATAGTACCTCTTCATTGGGAAAATACGTGGTAAGTGGTTCATAATCCCCATCCACCAGATTCTTGGCGAGGTAGTCAGCTAAGGCTTGTCCTTTGATAGCCTTCTGAGTTATGTACACAATGTCAAATTCGTTGAGGAGGATTTTCCACTTAGCTAGCTTCCCGGTAGGCATTGGTTTTTGAAAAATGTACTTGAGTGGATTGAGCCGAGATATCATATGCGTGGTGTATGCCGACATGTAATGCCTTAGTTTCTGAGCAATCCATGTTAGAGAACAACAAGTGCATTTTATCAAAGTATAATTGGCTTCGCACGGTGTGAACTTCTTGCTTAGGTAGTAGATGGCCTTCTCCTTCCTCCAAGTTTTGTCGTGCTTCCCCAACACACAGCCAAAGACATTGTCCCAGACTGACAAATAGAGCAACAATGGCTTCCCTGGTTCAGGGGGAACCAATATTGGTGGGTTTGAAAGGTACTTTTTGATTCTATCGAAGGCTTTCTGGAATTCCTCTATCTATTTTGTGGCATCATCCTTCTTTAATAGTTTGAGGATAGGTTCACAGATTACTATGGAGTGGGATATGAAACGAATGATGTAATTCAATCTTCCCAAGAAACTCATGACATCTTTCTTGCTCTTTGGTTGTGGCAATTCCTGGATGGCCTTGATTTTTGATGGGTCCAGTTCTATACCTTTCCTGCTTACAATAAAACCCAATAGTTTTCCAGCCAGGACTCCAAACGCGCACTTTGCTGGATTCAGCTTCAAATCATACCTTCGCAAGTGTTTGAATAATATCCTTAAGTCATCCAGATGCTCTGAACTCTTCATAGATTTTATGATGACATCATTCACATATACTTCGATCTCCTTATGAATCATATCGTGAAAAAGGGTCTCCATGGCCCTTATGTAGGTGGCGCCGATATTCTTGAGACCGAACGACATGACCCTATAACAATAGACTCCCTAAGGAGTGGTGAAAGTTGTCTTCTCTGCATTTTCCTCGTGCATTAGGATTTGGTGGTATCTGGCAAAACAATCCAAAACTGACTGCAGTTCATGCTTCACACATTTGTCGATGAAGATGTGGATATTTGGCAAGGGGAAATCGTCCTTTAGGCTAGCTTTGTTGAGATCCCGGTAATCTGCACATATTCTGATCTTTCCATTTTTTTTTGTCACTGGGACGATGTTTTCCAACCAACTTGGATAGTTGGTGACCCTTACTACATTTTCCTTTATCTATTTGCTCACCTCCTCTTTTATCCTCAAACTTAAATCGGGTTAGAATTTCCTGGGCTTCTGCTTGGCCAAAGGTCTAGTAGGGTTAGTGGGTAGTCGATGCAAGACAATATCGGTGCTTAATCCTAGCATGTCATCATAGGACCACGAAATACCTCGACATATTGTCGGAGGAGCTCAATCATTTTCCCTTCTACTCGACTTCTAGCTGAATTCTGATTCTGGTTTCTTTCATATCTTCTTCACTTCCAAGATTGTATACTTCCGTTTCTTCAAGGTTGGGCTTCTTCTGACTCTCCAGCTACTCGATCTCATGCGGGAGATTGTCTGGCATCATACTCTCGCATATTCCTTGTAATCCGGATCGTTGCGCTCAGTAGTTTCGTTACAAGTCATAATTGTGGAACGTGTTTTTTTATCTGGTTGAGTACTTAAAAGAAAAGCTAGGTATAAATAGAGCAATAAAAATAGAATTGCGATACTTAAGAAAAGATGCTCTTTATTTCATCAAAATGGGAACGTCTTAAGCGTTCACAAGAGGCAAATGACAAAAGAGTACAGACACGGTACATGCCTCAATTGACTATGCCTGGTGAACCAAAGATGGACTGCCTGTCCAATTCTGTAGCTCTTCCCCTGGTTCGACATCTCTGATAGTTGGTTTCTTGATGTCAGTTCCTTCACAACATTCTTCAATCATATTCACGAACATCGTCGATGATATCATCTTCGGGCATTGAACTCTATCCTGGACTTGAAACATGCTCTGGCACGAAAAGCTTTTTCCCTGAGCTAATGGTGCGCGTTTTCCCTTCTGGGGGATGATATCCTATGCCAGCCCTTCCTTTCTTCTAATTGTGCTCAATTGGTTCTATGATCCCATCTGACTTGGCTCCCAACCCTGTCCCTGGCCTGTATCCATATTTAATCATCCCCCCATGGTTATCTTGGATATGTATGGCGATTGCATTCCCAAATTCTGTTCAGTCTTCTCTTTTTCGGTAGTCTGTATGATTTCTACAACGTGCAAGGTGACTCCGTCTAGTCCCTCAATGAATGGGACAACATACTCCAAATAGGCGAAGTGACCTCACTCGCCGTGGACCACGATCTCTTGGCATTCCCACTCGAATTTTATGCATTGGTGTAAGATAGATGGCACGGCCCCTGCCATATGTATCCAGGGCCTTCCTAGTAGGAAATTGTAAGAAGAGGAGATGTCCATCACTTGAACTAATACTGGAAAGCCGACTAGCCCGATATGCAAGGCTAGATAAATTTCCCCAATAACATCCTTTTGCGAACCGTCAAAGGCTCTTACCCTTACATGGCTTTCTTTGACTTCCCTTAAATGCATTCCTAACTTTCGCTGGGTGGAAAGCGGGAAAATGTTGACTCATGATTCCCCATCGACCAACACCCGAGATACCACATTGTCCCCATATTTGAAAGTGATGTGAAGAGCCTCGTTATGACTTGCGCCCATGACAGGAAGTTCATCTCTTCTGAAAGTGATCATGTTTGCCTTTACCATTTTCCCAATCATCGCGGCCAATGCCTCACTGGTGGTGTTACTTGGTACACTTACTCCGCTTAGTATTTTCAATAAAGCGTCTTTATGGCTGTTAGAGCTCATCAGTAGATCCATGATGGATCTCTGTTGGAGTTTTCTTTAACTGTTCTTCCACAGAATACTCGTTACTTGACATCATTTTCCAAAACTCCGCGGCTTCTAGGTCTGTTATATTCCTCCATGGAGTTTGTTCTCTCCCTGAATTTATTCGATTGACCACTTCAGGGGCGTAGCATCTTCTAGACCTAGTCATTCCATGGGCTGCGACACAGTCTGTCATTTTGGCTTTCCCCTTTTGCTGATAGGTCCATGGGATATTTTTGTATTCCTGATCTTCTTCACCCTGAGCAGCATCGGTGGGTTGCTGTAGATAAGTTTGAACTGCTATTTTAGGCTTCAGTTGTACCATGATGACATGAGATGTTTGAGGAGGGATCCTTGTAGCTTCTGCATTTCCAATAGTGATAATTGTTCCCTTAAGATCATATTCTTCATCCAATGTGATCATGTTAGATCCTTGGTTTCAATTATTTGGAAATGGATTGCGGATCATATTAGGTGGTACTGGAGTGCACTAAATGGCTTCGCTCTTGATCAGGGTTTCAATTTCATTTTTCAGCTTGAAACAATTTTCAGTCTCGGTACATTGGAATGATACATGCATCTTTTAGTGGCATCAAAATATTTGGAGGGATGTTCAGGAACCCTTCCCTCAATTGGGTATATCAATCCTGCTCTCCTCAACCTTTCAAACAATTGGTCCAGAGGCTCAGCAATCGGGGTATAGGCTCTGGGACCCCTTTCTTTAAAGTTGGGACGAGGACATGGTGCGTACACTATCGGTATTGGTGAGTAGTGATTTGGACAGGAGCATACGGTCGTTGTGGGTTTTGGTTGTTGTTGGCTCGGAGAGGGTTGTATTATTGTTAAGGGTGGTAGTATGGTTGGGTATATATTGAAGCATAGGTAGGTGATGATGAGTGGTTGTTTGGGGAGTACGAGGTGCTTCCAAGAGGTGGGTTAGTTTAATAGTACGGGATGACTGCTGAGACCTCTTCATTTTTTTTATTTCCACTACCAATTGATCCTGACTGGATGGCCTTGATGGCCGCTTCTAGTGCTGCCATAGATTACACCTTACCAGATTTTATTCCCTCCTATAGAAAATCTCCCATCTTAACAAACTCGGAGAACTTTTGACCCATCACCTTTTCAAAGTATATCCCTTTCTAGGCTCGGATGAAGTGCTTGGTTAGTTTGCTATCGCCCAGCAGTGGTTGCGTCCTAGCAATTTCTGTACTCCAACGTCGTGCATATTCTTGAAATGACTCTGATGGTTTTTTCTTTAGGTTCACCAGCGTGAACCGATCAGGAGTGATTTCTGTATTGAATTGAAAAATGGTTCATGAAGTCCTCCGCCAAATCTTGCCAAGTTCTCCAATTCTGCGGGTCTCGTCGAGTATACCAGGTGAGTGCCTCTCCCGTCAGACTCCTTATAAAGAATTTCATCCTTAGTTTCTCATTTCTCCCCACTCCGACCAACTTGTCGCAATAAGCCATTAAATGTGGGTGAGGGTCCCCTCTCCCATCAAAAGTATTGAACTTTGGGGTTTTGTACCCTATTGGCATGTCTACATCTAGGTAAATACACAGGTCCTCATAATCTAGGCTTTCACTTCCTCGGAAAACTTGGAGACTCTTCATTTACCTTCTTAACATTTGTAGCTGCTCAGATACCGACTCTCCATCTCCGCATACTGGTAGATCTCATATAGCACCCTGACTGTGACGGGTGCTGTGAAGGTAGGTTTGGTAACGACATATACAAGGGGAACGTACCGCTCATGAGTAGCGGCATGTGCCTCGGGTATGTGCTGGTTGATGAGTGAAAGTGCCTCTATCACGAAGATG